AGTAGTACTTGAAGCAAGTGCACCAGAGGCAACGCAAGTGGACAGGAGACTTTACTAGCAGGTATCGGAAGATTCAATAATTGGTCCCATCTCCAAGCCAAAAGAATTTATAGAGCAGACCGGAACACAGACTTTCATCAATTATTTGTAGGACACAGAGATGCACGAGCCTTAAGAGCCACTATGGAGTGGCAGCGCCATATTGAAAATCATGAAAACACTTTGTGAAGAAATGAGATGTTACATAAAAAATATGTATAGGGGAAAGTTATCGATAGTGTAAAGAAGAATATCGCTAAGTCATTGTTTTACATTTATTTTTCCAAACATGTTTTCAACTTTGTATTCCTTTGACGAATTTCAAAATTTTTAAGATAGCGACATTGTACGATTAAATATAGTCAACTTATTCACTGAATAAAATATGAAATAATGTTTAACTGATCTATAAAACGTGTTTTCCTTATTCAATGAATTTTCACCCGTGAAGTGCTGCCATCCAATAAAAACTGAACCCATATTAGAGCAGAGGAGGGTTTGGCAACATCGCTGATAGCGAAACGCCCGTCGAGTGCAAATAATAATTGGTCTCTACAACAAGTTTCGACTTTTACACCATCCAATCTTATTTTATCAATTCGGTCATTTCCATATCTTCACAAATATATGTTATTATAATTTATTCTTCGTATAAGTTGAACTCCACTCTTTTCTTCAGAAAGTTAGTATCATATTTTTATTTTCCATTTGTCAACTTCACATNAAAACTTTTCTACCACCTGTATTTGATACTAACGTTACTGAAGTTTCGTTCTATAATTATATTTTCAAACGAATACAAAAAACTAAAATAATTTACAATGTTTACCCTTTTATATTCATACACCACTGTAGGTATAGTCGAAATAAACGATATTGTGCACTCTTAGTGGAAGGTTACATTGGATGCGTACACGTGCGACTTTTTACACGCGCGCGCACGTACGATATCGCAAATAAAAACAAACCTCTACATTTAAGGGGATTCGGTTACAGTGCAGTCATTTTAGTCTAGAGATGGTACAGAACAGTTAAATTTGAAGAACTTGTTCGAACTGTTTCAGTTCATATCGAAAACCTGTTCTTTTTAACTGTTTATGTTCACCTATTCTTAAATGACGTCTCATCTTGCGTCATGGTCACTTTTTAGCGTTCGGTTCCGAGTGGTTCCTAATTTCCGTACGTTCCCTCCATTCGTCTTGTTGTTCTAGATTTTTATTTCAGTAACAGACTGAATTTTAGTGTAAAATAAATGAAAAGTTAAGCCCTATTTGGATTTTTTTTTCAATCATAGAGAAACAACTGCAACTAGCAACATGTGAAATTTGCAAGCAGGTTATTTCCTTCAAATCTTCCGTGACTAATTTAAAGCGTCATATGCTTAGAAAACACCCCACGGTGAAAATTCTACCCACTAGAAAAACAGTGAAAACCCACGTTGAGGAGAATTCACAGAGACAGGGACCTACGATTTTGCAACAGGTAGGTATTTAATTAATTCGTTTTGCATGTTCAAAATTTCATGGAAAACGTTTATGACTTGTCAGTGCTCAGTGCAGTCGAGAGCACAGGTCACAGAGCGGTTCCGTCATCCAGTTCCAGCACTAACCTGCGCAAGCGTCTATGGAATAGCCACTCACCGTCTGAACAAGTTCAGTTCAATGAAAAGAACAAGTTCATTGAATAGTTGACTGATACCTGATCCAAAAAACCAGTTCGGTTCTTTTAAGTCCATCTCTTTTGAGGATTCATTCTATATTGAAAGGTGCGGTGAAGTTTGATTCCTAAAAAATGAAAATGGAAATTGAAAGGGTAATCCTTTCCGAAGAAGATTGTTGAAGGAGATAGTCAACAAAATATTTATATATAGAATGCATGAAATGGAGAAGCAGGATTTTCTAAAAAATATTTCGCTATCACCATGGAAAACTAGGCTACAGGTAAGAAGACACAGAACATTAACAAATTTCAGAAAGGTGATGTCCATAAAATACAAATGGGCAGCAAAAAAGGAGTCGGTTACAAGCAAACAAACATACAAGTGAAGCTAATATAAGCCTGTTAAAAAATCAACCCCTCCACACCACAACTATAATGTCAAAAAATTTCAAATGGAAATGATAGTTCTTCAATTCTGTATCAAACGCTGTAACATTTTTAACAATGATTAGTTTTTATTAAGAATTACGAACTACAACACACAAATTCAGTATTTGAAATGTTCAAACTCAACATTGATGATACTGATGAAAATAACAAAAAATAATAACTCGAGGTCAAAAATTTCTTGATAGTAGATAGTATTTCTCTGGCGTGAAATAAATCTATTGAAAAACTCTTTCCCACAACGAAAAATTGCGGTGAAGTCAGGTAATACAAAAAGGTAGTAGTTAGGCCATTAGGATATAAAAATACTAACATAGTAGTAAAATTCAGTTATAATGATCACCTGAGGACGCTTGGTTAGCGAAACGCACGTCGGGAGATCGTAATTCTTTGTTCGGTCGTTGGGAGAGTGTTTTCGGAAGATAACAATTTATTGTTCAAATACACAATATTTGATCACCTCGTTACTGCTGAAGTTGTTAATATTTATAACAAAATTATTTTGAAATCGTGACTGTCAGCTTGGATTTATCAGAGTTTTTATTTTTATCCTGTTTGAACTCGAGTTATTATTTATCTTTTGTTTTATGAAAAATGGTTCATAAACTTCAATAGTGAATTGAAGAAGTGGTGTTGTACTACGCAAATGGAAAATCTGTCGTCTGAAATGGCTCCAATCGTAAAAATCTTACATGAAACTTTTTCAGAACTAAAATAATTTTATTCCACAATTCAGTATAAATACTACATATACGTGAATAATATTGAAAACGTATCTCTTCCTAATAACGCTAAATCAATATCACTCAATGTTCAACATTTATTTTCTAGCTGGTTGAGCTGGTCGAGCGTTCTTAGACAAAAGCCATGTAAATCCTCTAATGAAACAGGAAATTTCAGATCACCAAGTGATCGAAACACGTGTCGAAGTGTTGAAATAACGGTTTGGTGTTGGGAAAAAACTCCACTATTAGTCATTACTACACCAAAGGTTCCAAACATTGCATCACAAGGAAATTTCAGATTAACTTACTATTTGTCTACCTCAAAATTATTTCAATTCAACGAAAAGTTTTATTCATGCAGCAAAGAACTAATAATCGAGAAGTCATTGAGTCCATCGCTGGCTGAAATTTTCAAAGATAATCTAAAGAATGAAATTCATAATAATCTGACAGTTCCTTGTACTGTTACAGATACATGGAATGATATCTGAATTCACTTCGCCCGTACACCTAGGCAAGTAAGTTTATCGGATACGTCAATTCTATTCACCCGTGAATAAAGTTCACCACTGAAAGGGAGGTGCATAATTTAATAAATTATCTTGACTTGACTGTTGAGAAAATTACTGATAAACATAATTTTGCAATTTTCCACAGACCATCTCATATAGACATTGTCATACATAATTTCTCCACAAATCCCTACCAGCATAAAGTAGTTCAATAGTATACTTCACAGACTGTGTCCTTGTAGGAATATGAAAGTGATGATGTATATCAATATTATTCATTTCTAAATGATAAAGGTGTCAAACCTGAATCGTTCTGGACCAGAAGAAGTGCTCGTATATCGATACCCAAATATCAATTATGTACTGTTGATTATTTGTAGAAACTTTGATAGTCGATTACCAATTATCCAAAGAAAAGGCTGCTCTCACCCAAGTCATATATAGCAGTGACTTCAACTCTGCTCAATAGATGTCCAATATGGTGGCAGATACAGACAAGTAGGTAGCCGATTAGCAGCTAACATTGAAATTCAGCTTCTATTATTGATTCCATTCTGTACATCACTGTTAGTTGCACTGATGTTCTTCCACAATTCGTATTGTTAATGGTCTTTAGGAGATACATATTTAACTTTATTCATGATGACTTCAGTACAACTCTTTTGGATTTTTCACTGATAGTTAAACCCTTATCTCTCGCATAAAGAGACATTTTGGGAATTGGGAAAAGACAATTGATATACCTCAAAAAAGAGTTAGGCAGTGACGTTAGAGTCTCAATCCAATTCTAACAGAACTGCATCCAGGCTAACACTGGCGTTAGCTTGGTCAGGTACACATATACTACGGAGATTATTCAGTTGAATACACGATAGCTGTGATGAAGGAACTTCAAACTCAAAGATTTTTTCATCATGTCATCCAAAGATGAATGAAGTACGTGTCATGAATGAATACAAAGGCTACTCTACAAAGTCAAAATATATATTATCTAAGCTGAATTGACGTAGGTCTGGTGGCTTTGGGATCTTGGATTAACACGTTGCTCATCTATCAAGATTTGTATGAGAACTTTTCCCGTAGATTTCAAATTGAAACAATTCCAAAAATGTTCGCTCTGAGAGAATTATGACCTATCTGTATCTGTAGAGTAGGGAGGGTGAGTGTAAGCCCACGCACTTAGGCCACATGTGACCAGCCATCAGTGCAGATTGTTATGTTTTTTTCAGAAATTCTTTTCTTGGTTATTTCTTTTGTGGCGATTGAGATACCAGCCAGTTCTGTTTGGACCACGCTGGCATTTCTTCCCATTCCCCACTTAATCCTTAGGCTTAGTGATCTGGAGTACACTCCACATCTTGAGCCTTCTTTGGTTTTTGAGCCATCTGTATAAATCCGTGAATTGTGACCTATAAAGTATTTTATAAATTATTCAAGAACCAAGACGTCCATGCCCATGATGACCCATATTGTCGAGGTCTAGTTCTTTGATGTTGAATAACACTAACACGGGTAACAAGTTGGGAATGATATTTTTCAATATCGGAGTAAGTTGTTATACGTCTCAGCAGAATTTCCATCAGCTCTTTGCAGATGATTTTTCTAACGAGGAATATTATAATTATTATCTAATTCAATACATACCAAAGCTGATCAATAAATTGAGTGACATCAGCAAATATGTATATGTGATTCCGTTGCCAAATTCACTGATGAATCCACCAAGTAAGGATCCAGTGATTACAGCCAAAGCCATATATATTCCCAACGTATTCACGAAAGCTGATTGAGCCTCTTTCTTCAAATTTGTTAACATGGTATTGAGTAATGCTTGGACTGGCATTCCAAATGCTATAAGAAGAAGTACCAATTAATAAGCGTAAAAATCGTTTTGAATATATCATGTTATGTTTTCAATATGATATATTCAAAAACACTGATGAAAACAACTAAAATATAATATTTGCAGATCTTCTCTATTTGCACTGAAATGTGAGAATTTCTAATCATATGACGAAAAATCTATTGTTAGCAAGAAACAAAAACGAGTTTCTTCTCGAAAACGTATAAAACGCCATATTAGGATGAACTTTTTTTAAGGACAAAACACAAGTACTACAGAAAAATCATTAAGGCGCTCTCAGATCGGTGCCTGTGCGAAAGTAGTGATTCACATTGCATTTGAATCGCTGAAGATTATATCCATATGGAAAAAAGTTTCTTTCGCAAAAACGCAGTTCTCCAGACGAAAGAGTTCTTAAACAGTGAAGTTCGAGGTGTACTGAGTTGAACCTCAAAACGACGAGCAGCCACAGTCCATCGCGTACATCTGATATGTACCGCTCTTGGTGAAATCAAATATGCCAAGTCACTTGAATACCTTCCGTGAAAGTATCTATAGAAGAGAAACAAATATCCAACCTTTCTTCGATGTTTCAGGTTATTAAGGTTGCATGTGATGTTCGCGTCTCCAATCAGGCGAATGGCTCTTTTTTGGATGGAATTCAGTAACTTCAGGGTATGTTTGGGGACAGAGCTCTATACATGAGAACAATACTCCAAAGAAGGTCTGATCTAAGCTTTATAAAGCATCAAAAGTTGTTGAGGTGAGGTGGTTCTGAACAATGTTTCAAGCTTTTGAGAAGCAGCATTTTCACTCTCAACAAACTTATCGAAGCAGAAAGCGAAATTGTCGGACCTGACATTAGTATATCCGGTTCGGAGTCATTCTTGGACTTCTTGGAGAAAACCAAAGCCCGGGTTCTTGTGGCATCGAATTGAACTTGGTTACTTTCAACCAAATTTGAAATCACTTCTAGATCCTCATTGAGATATGCAACCTCCTGCTACCGGTGAAGATGTGCCTCCGTAGCCGATGTCCTGGAATCCAAATGGAATGATGAGACAAGTGTGCTGTGGTCAGTAAAGCAATATATTGGATTCTTGGTTTTTTCCAATAAGTCGTTGATATGCAATAAAAAGTTGGTTGGAGACAATATGGATCCCTGGGGAACACCGGCGTTGATGGTGAAAGTGTTCAAGAGATATCCATCGACGCGACGGCCACTTGCAGGGAACGTTTTTTCAGGAAGCTGGAGTGCCATACACTCCAGCCATAGCATCGAAATATGGCCAGCAAACCCTTATGCCACACACGGTCAAAGGCCTCAGAAATAGCAAGCGCAATAGCTCTTGATTCTATATGTTTCTCGATTGCGTTATTCCAAATATGGGTGACATACGATAGAAGGTCGCCTGTTGATCTGCCCTATTAAGCAAAAGTGCCATATGTACAAAATAGTCATTATGAAATTTTCAGATGGTTGTAGAATACCTATGAACATTTTGTGTCCTCTTTACCAAGCAAAAACTACGTGTATACCATCTGGAGTGAAAGTATTTGTTGATTTTGTTTGCCGTTTGTACAAAATTCACTGTGAATACTAGAAACAAAAGCAGTATATGCAGTATAATAAACAAAAATGCGGCATATGCAATGTATATACGGCACTCTTTCTTAGCACATGTGAGTTACTGTCTTTTTACTCAATAAGTTGATAAGATGGAGATTACCAATAAGCACTAGTTTTTGTTCGATTGTTCATGCCGGTGTACTAATTTATCAGAACTCATAAGTGACTTTACGATGTCGAGATGTATTGACAAAATGATGACACATTGCAATACGAACTCTTAACAAATGATGAGAAGTTCATCGGTGAATAAGAGAGAAATTGAAGTTTTGGAAGAATTTTTCCCAACGTCGCTTTCTTGGGATGTCAATGAAGTATCGAAAACAAAGAGGCAAGCTATTCTTCTGCAGGAAGGACAAGAAATAACACAACGTGGTTAGTTGTTACAAATTATTAGGATGACTTGTTTACTTTATGGTAATTCGTGGTCACTTAAATGAAATGAATAAAAACAATTTTGTCCAAATACCACTGGTAAATTTTATTCAAGAACTATGGTTGAAGGAAGAAATTGAAGGCATCTATAAAGCGCGAGACAACTCAAAACTTCACCTGAAATTAGTCCAAGACAAGTTGAGACATATACTCCATAACGTGGAAGTTGACTACCTGGAGGATAAGATTAAACAAGAAACTAGTAAAGTATCGAAAGAGAAATATGATAAGCTTAAAAATAAGACATCAGTGCTCCTCAATAAACAAAAGCCATTGACGAAACAACAAAACATTCAATATTCGGATCAGACATTCTACCCAAGATTCGTCAAACTAACTGATACCGATTTCAATAATGAATAAAGAGAATTGTTAGAAAAAGGGCCAAATCCCCCCCCACCCCCTCCCAGACAAAAGGAACATGAAAGACATCATAGGGGTACAAGCTTAACTAGCCATCTCAAACAACGCCAACAAATTGGATAACCCACTCCTTCACAAACACAAAGTAGCAGAAATCATTAAAATTACTCGAATCACCTAGCTATCCCAGGAATATCAAAAACACTTTAAAGAACTTAACGGAAAAAAGAACCCACAACAAACTCATTTTCACCAAAGAAGATGAAAGAAACAGCATAGTATGTCTAGAAGGAAAAGAGTACTTTTCGAAAATGCAAGAAGTGGGGGATACCTTAGATGTCACCATTTCAAGAAATGCTCCCACCAAAATGTATTCTCAGCAAGCTAAGAAGGCCATGAAGGTATCAACAATGCCGTTTAAATACCCCCCTTACACAGAAACATATTGTGTTTTGGTTCAGATATGTGGATGACGTACTGGTTGGTTTTGATGGTTCAAACACACAAATTAATCAATTTTTAATAGTCTACATAACAAAATTAAGTTCACAGTAGAAATCGAACAAAACAAGGAGCTTAACTTCTTAGATTTGAATATTTCAAGAGTTGGTAATGGTTTTCAATTCAATATCTACTGGAAAAACACGTTCATAGACTGTACAATTCCCTTTGACTCATTCAGTCCGCTCTCACATAAGTTATCCGCGTTTAGGTCAATGATATACGGAACTTTCGCAATCCTTTTACCGGAAAAGAATTTCCAAGGTGAAATAAAAATAATCAAGCAAATTACAGTGAACAATCAGGTACCAATTTCCCTAATAGAAAAGATAATATCAGGTAAAACTCACAAAACACTTATGAGTAAATTATACCAAATCTGCCGAGAACACAATATAGTCAAGTACAGTAGCATCAATTACTCAGGTAAACTTTCAGAAAATATTCAAAATTATTTCTCTAAATACAAAATTTCAACAGCTTTCACAAGTAATGATAATTTAGGCAAAAACCAAACGGGATAGAATGAAAAAATCAGGTATATATAGAATAGTATGTAACGAATGCTCTGTAGGATATACAGACGAAACCGGTAGAAAATTTTCAATAAGACTGCGTGAACACGTCTGTTTGGACCTCAAAATCCTACATATATGTAATAAAGGGAGAAAAATGAATCTGTTGGAGGCCATGAAAAGTAACAAATCAATGAAAAACCAGAAACATATATCCCTAAACGAGCAACTTGATTTATGTAGCTCTCCTCTTGTGAATTTATAAGTTTAACAACCCCTAGAATTTTCAGGGTGGTATTTTAGCATACCTGAAAATTCTAATGAAATCGATATTTCAAAATTCAAATTTCAGTTTTATACTTGATAATGGGGTCAAACCCGAAACCGGTCGTATAAATAAAATTTACCACTGGTAATTAAACAGAAGTGTTTTTATTCATTTCATTTAAACAAATTGTTCAACTATTCTCAAATAATAAAACGTAACTGAGAAATTCAACAATAACCGATGAATATTTTAAATATTTTCAATTTTTGAACGTTGTTACCAAGTTTCAAAACTCCAGTAATACACCAAATACACCAAAGGTTCCAAACTGTGCATCACAAGTAGAAAATTCTATGTGGAATCAAATGCCATGTTTAACAAATATACTGATATATATGTTTATGATATCCATTATTAGCAAATATATGTTATCAATCCAGAATTTCATATAACTTAATTGAAATGAGGCCTGCACGATGCTCGGGAATAAATTTCCTTCATGCAACGCATTATCCTTTTTTCCAAAATGAAAGCATTGTTCAGATATACTGATGAACCCCAAAAAATTGGCCATACGAGAGTATTGGCCGCACGAGCACAAAATATGCAATATTCAATATCGATGAGTGTCTTTCATGTACTCCTACTAGCCAGTGATATTCCTAAGAGTTTTACTGATTTTAGTTCTTGTGAAGATTTTTCTTACCAAAAAATTATAATCGTGACAAAAATTTTTGGGGAAAGAGTCATATAGGCAACATTATCTTAGAGTCCAATCACAATTGTTCAAATTCACAACTCAATAACTCTTTTGATAACTGTGGTTCGGAAATTATCAATTACAAGTAGGTTTGGGTTATTTCAAAATATGTTCTGAAAATTCAAATTTATCTAGTTCATTTCCAAATATTCAGCTTCAAACCGAAAATAAGACTAAAAATGTAGACTCGCGGAGAGTGAAACGAATGTACCTCTCCCGAAAATTTATAATGTGGTGAACAAATTCATATTTTTCAAAAACTTGTCATTTGATATCAAAATTATAGTGATGGGAAACTCAATTAGTTACATGTCATGCTAATTTGTGAGGTTCTTTATGAAGTAGACTGGAGGTCTGGATATTTTCCACTGTTTCATTCACCTAATTTCCGATCTTTTCCGAATTGAATAAAATAACAAAAATAAGTACTATCTTTGAGTCCTTTTTAGAATTGCTGTTCGTTATGACATTTATTAATATTACTCTCATTGGAGATATTCTTCACATCTGAATTTCATTTTGAAATATTCCTGATATGTCATAGAAAAAGTATAGTATTCTACTCGCGAGAAATGGCCATCACGAATGATTTACGACACTTGCCTTCGGTTCACGAATAACAAACTACATTTTGGTGAGTACCTAACGGCTACATATTTCACTCGTCAAATAATGCACTATCAGCTTAACTGTATAATGTTATTTTTTCGAAAATGTCTTGTAGATACTGAACAAAATGAATCAAAGTGTATCATAAAAACTTCCTGTTCTAGCACATTCTCCACTAGTTGGCTAATACGCAATAACCAAACATTTATTACAACACTTTCGTCAAATAGGGATTTATTTCATCAAAAAAAGAGAAGAGTCTGCCCATTGACAACTTTTTCTCTACGATTACATAATTTGACAGTTTAATATTCGATAAACTAGTAAATCATCTCTCATACTTCATTTCACTGGCTCATTGTTTTTGACCTATCTGCGGATTGACGGTATTACAAAGCGTTTGATTTTTTAACGGTATCATAAAAGTGTAATGACAGGAGGACGACATCTCGTTTTTTCAAATGAAAATGGAATTTTGTTCCATTTAATTATGGGGTAAATTATTCATTTTATAAATATTCAATTTCAACATCCACTAGCATTCAGTAGAAATGTCAAATCTAGAAGTTCAAATGTTCAAAACTGAAAGTGTACACGTTTATGTACATTTTACTTACTGCATAATAATCTTCCGGCAAATAAAACATACAATGATGGGCTGAAAGCTGAAACTATATTTCCAGCTGCTGAAATCAAAAAACACCATGGAAGAACCTTAGTAGTCCCTCGCGTATCACTCAAACGACCCTGAAATTTGCAATGAAAGTTTAAGAACTCCAAAAAATAAGTCCGTTTGAGGTATGAAAAATGCAAATATTTATTTTTATCTCGGAAAAAAATTCAAATTATCATCACCAAAGATTTTCAAAATTTGAATTTTCATGAACTTTATGCAATATTTTTGGAAACCTATAAATTACTGTCAGTACCAATGCACCTTTGGAAAGCAGAAAGTGAATTGTCTGAGTGAAAATAATGAGTGTCCCTTTACTATACTAAACAAAAAAAAGTATGTTTCATAAATTCTGAATAAATTCTCACTATTTGAAAGTGTCCCTAATGTACCAAATATAGTGTTGAATACAAGCTTACAAACATCATCGATGTCAAAGGCCAAGTTTTTTTATCAAAAATATTTCATAGTTATTTCAATTCAATTGATTTCAATTCAGTCACTGCTCTTTTTGAAAATGATTCAAAGAAGTCATGTCTCTATTTAATGCAAAAAGACAAATAGTTCAAAACGTTACTCAAACTTTCTCCAATCTCAAAATTCCAATTTCCATCTTTGAAAACTTGAGAAGACGTTCAATAAAGTTCAAAGTTCAAAAAAAGCACAAAAAAATATATTCTTGAACACTGCTTTTATTCCACAGACAAGTTTCTCGTCACAACAAAGCAACTGAGTCATGCACTCAACACATCACTTCTCTGAAATATTCCATTCTGTTTACGCTATTTATTTATGCCTCACTTGATTATGTTTGTGACACTTTCAAAATATCATATGTTTTATTGTATAATTTTATTCATTGTGTACTTTATATTGTATCTATTAATATATTGACATGCCATAAATGTATTTATATATGTAATGTGGTAAAAATATATCTATCTATCTATCTATCTATAAAAAATAAACGGCTAGTCAAATGAGTATAGAGCCAATACACTAGTGTCAAAAAAAGTGGAAAATCAGAATTATCACTTCTGAGTGTGAGAAAAGTGGAGTGTGTTTCTTGCGCAGTCAGACCATCATCTTCTCAGGATGAATATATCATTAGTTAAAGTAGACAAATAACAGAAACATATCCGTTTCATAAATTGTAACCATAGAAAAAAATAAATTACTGTTCGGTGTAACGGATTAATAAAGAGTAGGAGATTCGATATTTTCACTCAAACTATTTGATTACGGAACGCGACCTGCCCATTCGATATTAGTGCTATGAAATTTAATCTATTGAAAACAGTTCTCCCTTCACCCACCAAAACAAAAATGTTATTTTTTGAAGTGCGTTTCGCTAACTAAATATGCATCATGAGCTTACTTGGTGATGGAAACTAGCGTCGAGTTCTAGTGAGGAAAAAGTGTTTTTTATAGATTCATTATGGAATGGAATCGTATATCGTACCATACGCCAGACATGTGCTGAATCAACTACTACGGAGTAAGATACTGGCATGGGTTCAACGAAAATACTATCAGACCAACTATCGTCATGACGTGAAAGAACGGTGCAAACGATTCTACTTTTGCTTTTCGAAGAAAGACCTTAGAAGAAGTTCATCGAGAAAAATAAAGATCACGGATAATGTACAGATAGACGAAAAAGGTGAGGGTACAGAATCCAATCGAAGAGATGTTGTGCCGTTGTTCCAACCCCAGAGGAAAGAAGAAATATGTACCAAGTTGCCTGGAAGAAAAGGTCACTTTTTTCAGACCAAGAAAATAAATCACAATGTTTTTGGTATCCAACTCACTTCAGAAGCAAACCATGTAGAAAGACTGGCTACGATCAGAGCCGGATTCAGGATGGGCAGGCGGAGCTACTGCCTCTAACCGTCCACAGGAGAGGGGCCTACACAATAAAGATAAAAATATCCAAATTTTGATGGTACAGCAACTTTTACTTTTTTCTCCCAGAACCTTTTTTTATCAACAAACATAATAATATTATCGATATATCAGAAAGCCCTGATGCAAGTTTCCATTTGCTGTAAATTTTTTATTTGATCGAGTATTTCAGTGGCAATCCTTTTTTTAATGTGATTTGTTATTTGTACCCGTGACTTGAATCAGTGATCAAATTAAGCACAAATTCAAAAATAGAATGGGGAAAACAAATAGTGGAATTGAAACGTCTCAAAAAGTCTGTCAAAATTGTAGAATTTTCTCTTTGGCTTAAAGAAACAAGTGAGGCCATAATGTACGTTGTTCCTGGAAGAGAACAAGATAAAAAGAAGAAATATATCTGTACCACATCCATTCAACCAGATAAACCAACATTCGGATATAAATCATGCAAGAAAGACAGACAATAAGTAGAAAAGTGCCACTAATTCAAAAAATTAGAAGTTGAGAAAAATTGGGGTTGGGTAAAAGAAAATAATGTATGTTTCAGTTGTTTAGGATCATCACATCACCCAAAACTTTGTAAAAGCAAGAAAACATGTGATTTTAATGCCTGCCTTCACAAACATCATCCTTTGTTACATAAAGAACCTAAAACAGTACTGGAAAACTTCGAAGAGCAAGTCTGCAATCATTCCGCCAGGATCAAGAAGTCTGAAGTTTTATTGAGAATAACTCCTGTAGAATTAACTGGCACCAAAGGTAAAATCAACACCTATGCTCTTTTTGATGAAGGTTCTACGGTTAATGCTGTATTAACTGAGAAAGTAGATGCTACTGGACCAACAGAAAGTTTGAAACTCAGTTGGACAAATTCTTTGACCTGTGAAGAATTCCACTCGAAGAAAATCAGTTTAAAGATAAGAGAAAAGAATGAAGATACTGAGTACGATTTGAATAACGTTAGAACTATCCATAACTCATCTAAATTGATGGATGTAGCCGTTACTACGTGGTAGAAGATCATGATGAAAAGAGAAATGAAAATTTCTATGTTTTTTACCACTTTTATTTGTAACTAACGTTACTGCAGTTTCGTCCTATATGGACATTCTCAAACTTGAACAATAAACTCAGAGTTTACTTACAGAGTATACTCTAACGATTTAGGTACAGACACCAAATTTCCAATTATTCTGAACCCCAAAAACTATTTCGCCAAGTTGCTAATTTTTCATTACCACTGCAAAGCAGTGCATAATGGCCAAGAGTATGTGATGAACGAGCTTCGATAACGATATTCGATTATCAATATTAGGTCAGCCATAAGAAGTTCTTGGAGCCACTGTCAGTGGGGCAAAAATAAAAGAGCTCAGCCAGTAATTCCAGAAATGCCTCCCTACCCAGTTCTCATTTAACTTCTTTTGTCAGAACTCTCACCATAGTAGGTATGAACTACTTTGGACCAGTGCAGGTGTCAATTGATCGCCGACAAGAGAAGATATATGGGGTACTTTTCACCTGCATAAGTACTCGTGCAGTTCATCTGGAAATTGCTCGATCATTAAGTACCGACTCAGCTTTAATGGCAATAAGAAGACTTATCGGATGAAGAGGGTGTCACCCTCTGCTCCACACATGGGAGGCAGTTGGGAAAGACTCATCAAGTCAAAATATTTCTACGGGACATTTTGAAGGAGAAGATACCACGAGAAGAAGTTCTTCACACANACTCCATAAACTATATATATATTTAGTATTGAATGTGTAGAATTAGTTGAAAGACACGCCAGATGAAGCCATTGTATGGCGAAACACGTGTTGCGTTTTTGTAAAACAATTTAGTGAAAATCTCACAATAAAGTGTTTTTGGAATACGTTAGTTATGGATTTTCATCAAGTATCGGCCGATTCCATCATATATCTGAAGATATTTGAATATTATTAATTTTGAGGTAATGCTCTTCTACAATAAATCCAATTCCAAAATCATTATTTCAAGCTAAGAAATATTCGGTTGAGATGACAGCTTTCAAATATCAACTGTTGTAAATTTTCAAAATTAGGTACCATCTACTGAGTTGCGCGGTTAAAAGTGGGCATGATTCTGATTACTGACAGTTCCAGTTTTGTATATCTGAACGGTACACAAACTGTAAGTTCTGTGGTAATTAATTTTGGATGGAGCCCATGCGCGAACTGATTTGCGTCAGATATACAAGAGTAACAGAATATGAAGCAATGTAGCGGAATTTTGCTTCATGTGTCTACGACTTTATAGTTCATCCAGTTGACAACACTATGTGAGTTCAGTTTTGTGAGCGCATCGAGAAGTTTAAAGATTAGTTCAGAAATCGTTTCAAGACAAGTGACGAAGTCGCAGCAATAATAGAAATGTAAAATAGTTCAAAAAATTGTAACGTCATTGAAGTAATGATATATTGAAGTATTTTGAGTTCTATTTCAAATGAAATGATGAAGTTTTTTAAATGGATTGGGCTTATCACTCATTACAATGAAACCCTCAAACATAGCTAACTTTTTTTTGTCACAATAAAGTGAATAATGAAGTAGATGAGAAACAAGCATTGCTGATGCTGACAATTAAATGGTTGAAATTTCAAAATGACCCCCTAACGTAAAACGGAAAGCGAAAGACATTCAAAGTATGTACTACCTACTGTAAGACATTACCATCAAAAACAACATGTTGAAAGAGTGATTCTGAAAGTAATAATCATTATAATAATTGTACATTGCTCACCGAAACTGATTTCAAAATCAACCCTAGAAAAGCAGTAGAAGATCCAATCATTCCTAAATGTAGATTAGAACCGCCTAGTGAGAGCACGTGTTTTGTGAATAGTGTCATTAATATGGATCCGTTAATCATATCCTGAAAAAAAAATTTTTACCTGATTGAAATGTACTTATGATGTACTGTTTGGAACCTTTGTTGTAGTAATGAATATTACTGGAGTTTTTTCCCAACACCAAATCGTTATTTTCAACACCTCGCCACGTGTTTCGATCACCAAGTGATCATCTTCAAGAGGAAGATAAAACTTCCTCTTGAAGATGATCACCAAGTGTCGGGGTGTTAAAAATAACGATTTGGTGTTGGGAAAAAACTCCAGTAATATTGATTGAAATGTAATGAAAACCCGCCAGAATTATACATACCAAAATAAAGAAAATGTAGAGTATCTTCATTATATTTACTTCAGAGTATCAGAAAATTATAAATTCTATCACTTCTGTAAAACAATCACAAATAATATAGAGCGCACTGTTTGAATACTATTATTCTCTTTCTGTTTTTTTGCGTGAAATATTATTACACCGTTGAAATTCTACTGTTATCAATAAGGTTATTCATTTGACATAATTATTCATAAGTGTATCTCAGCGTTATCAGTATCAAATATGTCTGATTTAAAAATCCTTATCTTCTTCAATATATTCGAAGTAAAAAGTGAAAAATCATTAGGAGATACAATATGTTTAGTCTGTAACTACCAGCATAACGCATGCTTAGTAGTGGGCCGCAAGCCCATGCTGAATTATAGGGGTTCATTTGATACCTCTAAAATCTGTATGATTTCCATAGTAAAGTAGAAAATTAGTTTCAGTCTTATATTGTCAGTTGAAGGTGGTGCATGTGAAAATATTGAAATAGAGAAAACAATAACCCAAGTGAGGAGGTAATTTTGTCGTGGTGAGCCTAGAGATTCTTCGACGCAGCCACAGCATACCTTAGGTATGCTGTGGCTGGGTTAAGTTGCGAAATCAATTCTTCGCACGACAAAGCAAGAACGATCCAAACACATGGATCGGTAGGAGACCGCGTCCATTTGATCCATATCATTCGTCAATTTTTGTCCGACTAGGTGCGAATTGCAAACCGATCCCGTTCTGCTGGGATCTGATTGCGATCTAGTGCGAAAATAGTTACAATAATGTATTGAAATGTGTCTTTTCTCATTCGAAGTTAAGAAAAGTGGTGGTCATCATCGATTTGAAGATTATGCCACAAATGAGAAAAATCACCAAACTCCTTTCTTTTCCCGCCTTCGTCGATATTGTCTGTGCCTGATACGACGATGAATGAAAAGTGATAATTCCAAAGCGAAAAATTCTTCATCAGAATAATTAAAAACTCCGTTTCAATGAACCATCTCACCTACTACGAATCCTGCCGAATATTGAGCCATAGAACACCTATATACAATAGAATGAAATGTCCTGATGTGGTAAGGACAGAACACTGATACTAGCGCTATAGTTGTCCGTTAACATAACTTCTGGACGAGTCAGCGCGCCATCTGCTGAACAAAAGGAGAACTATCAAAACTCGGCAAACTCAAAATACTATGGATATTATTGGGCTCATCCAGAGAGCATTGGATATCATATTTTTTAACATAATATAGTGGAATAAGTACTCATTATACTAATGGAATATACAATTTTCAAGCAAAACCTGGCCATTGCCAAGTATTTTCTTGGAATAAAGGTAAGAATCAAAAACTCCCATATGAAGCTAAAATGTATCAGTTCTGTTTGGAAGTTCGTACTCGAACTAAGCTGGACAAAAGTTTGTGATATTCAAAACTAGGTTTAATAATGAACAATGATAAGGAAATGAAAATTGGGAAAGCATGTAATACAAATTCATTTCTAGCATCAGGTGAGCGAAGTCAAAATTAAAATTACAAGTAACACAGGATCTAAAAAGAGTCCATGTTTAAAATGCATACACAGACACAATCACAATGATAACAAGAGCCTTACAATATCAAAACAACAATTCTCAAATAAACCAGCTATCAACGGAATATAAACTTGAATTTAGAAAATGTCATTTTTACTAGACAGAAAAAGTAACTTCATGTGAATGCCAGTAGCATTAAAAGTAGAATGTAAATGTGGTGAATCAGTTCAACGTTATGTTGAACATCAGCCTAATATCGCTCATTTCCTGTTTGAAAAAAATATATATTTTTGCGTTTTTTGTTGTTATTCAAAAATTTTGTTTGAGCAACAATCTTTATAGGATCTGGATTCAGAAAAGTGTTCAGAGATAAAACATATTTTGAATCCCTACCTTTCATAATTCTGTTAACTTGTTTCCACCAAAAAAATTTACAGCATCGTATGATGAATTTGCAAACAGTGTGAATTATTACAATTGATTGGATCGAAATTAATATTTGGTTTTGAAAAACTCAAAACATATGTTTTTCAAATGACAATAAAAATTAATGAGATTTGAAAGATAAGAAAAACACTGACCAATTGAAAAATGAAAAAGCTACCAGGTTCAACTAATTGAAAAGTTGAAGAATATTTTCTCGCTTTTATGAATTCATCGTTTTTCATTAGTTCATTGTGAGCTCTCAAATTCTGTCTACATTCAGATCATTTCAAAATTTTCTTAAATCGCTTCACTTAATATCCACTTATAAGTGGATATATATAAGATATATACTACAGTACACTCCGCCAAGCGTGGTATTGTCGGAGTGATGTTGAATGAGAATAGTTATCTTCTTCATATTAGGAAAACTCAACATGTGGTGAACGACGAAACATAAAATTATTTACCAGTAGAGCCTTAAATGATGCCTCACAGTGAGAAATATTTGGTATTATGCCTTATTCCGTGACTTCGTAGGGCTTAAAAACGACCTAATCAAGATGTATTTAAACTTATGTTTACATAAGATAATACGTGCCAATCTCATGAACCTTCTCAAGGTCAATATTAATTTATATGCGCTTTGTGTACTGAGCAATGGACGATGTACATCGCACGATTTTGTATGAACGACGTTGGCACGAATTCGTTGCTTCCCAGTTCGCAGTTTTTTCCTATCCCAGTGGGTGAGAAGCCTTACATCACGGCGAACGATTCCGGAGAAATCAGTAATCTTGAAACATTCGCATTTTTGCGATTCGATTGTTACTTGCCAAAACGAGTGGTCTGATCTATACAATTGATGTGTATAAAACTGCGAATTATCGTAACATTCACACAAGAATACCGATTTCAAAGAAATCGTTCGTATACTACGTAAAGGTTCACAAAAATACAAGTGATTTCAGAAAAGCCACCCTGGCAACAGATTTAGACCTACCGTAAGTTGCCAGACTAAAATACATTTGCTGTTGATAATTCCAGCATACGCTATATAAACCTATACTGAAAGGTAGAACTGGTACCTCTGACGTAGAATGAATATAAAAAACAAGTATTGTTGCTAAACACCAGATGACTTCATCTCCTGGAGACGACAACTTTGTTAATGACACACTCGTCAAATTGCCGTTCTGGTGTTTGGGTGTGGTTGATCACTGATTATTAAGAATCGTACTGTCCTTGTATATATCGGAGCATTGAGTTGAAAGCCAGTCTAGCAAACCTCTTTTGGACTTGATAATATTAGGTTTTTTTAAAAGTATTGTCCGTTTTATTGTCATATTTTATATCACCATATTTTAATAAATATCCATTCTACTGCTCTACATTGATGCTGTTCATTTTTTCCAAATTTTAATTTCGCCTTTTTTCAGCTAATTACCATATGATGTCGTTAAGCGCTGCGCTGCCGAAACAGACCGAAAAATCAACTAGATTTGGCATTGATAATGTTAATGAACGCACTATTCGACGTTGATTTGCAAAATTTCTTTCCAGAGATTTTAGCCTCGAAGGTGAGCCCCGAAGTGATCCAGGACGAGGATTTGAGGACCTTGGTGGAGATTGACCCATCACAAACGGTGAATAGGATAGCGGAAGAACTGGGCATCAGCTCCCAATGTAACTTCTACACTCTTCAACAATAGAAAAATTAATAGGGTCGGGTTACAAATCAGAGATTGTCGGTTTAGTATCAAAATATAATAAATTGTTCCGTCCACGAGGACAGCAATAGCCTTGAGAAAATGAACAAATAAAACTTAAACGCTACACTGCCGAACAAAAATTCAATTCATAAAAGTCTGGATGGAGCTCCCACAAGGTTGAAAATTGAGACAGCAGCCAACACCTTTCAGGTAGAAATCCGTCTAACTTTACTACACGTAGAGGAACGGATAATTAGCCAACACAAAATTAACTGCCAACAATCAGTTGGTGGTTATAACACCTGGATATGCAAACATCCACTTGTCGGAACTTTTTTATTTAAATTGTCGTTGAGCATCAACCACTCTCCAGTTCGTCGCTCTCCCCCGACTGACCTTATTGTCTCTTCTCCTTCCTCCCGTCACCTCTGCGAAATATTCCCGTGGTGTCCACTTACACTGCGCGAAACATCTCTTACTTAACTAGACAAGGGCGGCGTTCTACACCATGCGATGTTTTATGGTATAAAACATATTGGAAAGGTTAAAAACCTCGAAGCTGGTGTCCCACGATTTGAACGATTGACAGAAATTGTCACATTTCCAGATCTGTACTTCTTTGCTTTTGCGCAACCAAAACAATACTTTTTTGGATCGGATCGTCACGTGTGATGAAAAATGGATCATCTACGACAACAGGGTACGTTCAAGACAGTGGTTGAACAGCGATGACCACCTAGGAATTTTCCAAAGGCGAAAACCTACCAAAAAAAGAAAGTGATTACTGTATGGTTGACAGCGGCTGATTCACTTTAACTTTCTGCAACCGGGTGAAACTGTCACAGGAGAGTTCTATTGTGAGAAAATCGATCTAATGTACCGAAAATTGTGTTGTCAGCAGCCGGCACTGATCAACAGAATAGGTACGATCCTAGCTCCATGGCAACGCCCGTCCGCACGTTTAACAAATCACCGTCCGAAAATCAAACGAATTGAGAATAGAAGTTCTGCCTCCCCCACCATGCTCCCTAGATCTGACCAACCGACTACAATTTTTTCAGGCACTTCGATAACTTTCTCAACGGTAGAACCTTCGCCAATCAGGACCAGGCAAAAACGGCATTGGTCGAATCCCGAGCACTCAATTTTCATGCTGATGAAATCAAAAGTTACGTGCACAAAAGTGCACAGATTCAAATGGCGCTCATTTTGATTGAATTGAATGAGTATTCACTAAGATATTAAAGTTTGAAGTAGACTCATAAAAAAAGAAAAAAAATTGAAGCAACCTAATAAATGTGAGCTGGTATTTCATAATGAAAAATCCATAATTCTGATAACTTTCAAATCAACTTTGTTCAAAACTTTTTCCATTCAGCTTTTTTTCCGTATCATATGCTTACTCTGACTGCTAGTATGATTCTCTAAGATGCAGTTCGTTTCCAATGTCGAAGTTTCCCTTTCAAAGATTATCATAGAAATGTATCTAAATAATCATTGAGACATGTCAATAAAAACT